TTTTTTTTTTTTTTTTTTTTTGATTTTTTGACAATGATTTATGCATTTGCTGGAAAAGTACTTTGACCTCACTTTTGTTATTGTTGTTGTTGTTGTTAAACAAAGCCATTCAACATGGATTTTTGAGGGTGGGGGTGGGGTTTACTATCCATAAGATCTCAGAGCGAGAGTAAAAAGTTATTTGTATTTCTTGGTTTTGTTGTTTTTTTTCTTTCTGTTTTCCGAATAATAAAGTATAATAATGATTGACTGTACTGTTTGTTTCTTCTATTATCATGTTTCTGTTCTTTCGAGAAGTGGTATTAGTATGTGTTGTTGAAGCTGATATTGGTTTGAAAAACTTTTGCCCTTTTACTGTATTGGTGGAAGTTTGTGTCCGAAGGTTTTTTTTTTTTTTTTTTGGTTGCTCTTTGTCTAGACAGTTCGTTTCTGAAGAGAATACGAAAACAGCTTTGCGTTTGGCATGATTGTAAATGCAAATTAGAATGAAGAAAAGAGGTACTGTTTTTTAGGTTTTTTTTTTCCTTCTGATGTGTTTTTATTTTGTATTTTGACTTGAGCATTGAGGATTTTGTGAATGATTTTGTTTTCTTTTTATATTGTACTTATCTTGGGCCAATAGTTATTTGAGTTTAATCTTGCAAATAAGGAGCCCCTGAAAAGTTATACAAAAGATGACTTTTTCAACGAAGTGCAAAATGGCTTGGGGATCTACCGTTTCATATTTTGAAAAGTTTTTCAACAAAGAAAAGGATGTAATGGTCGCATATGAAGTTGTTAGGGGTGGTGTAAAACCGCAAAACCCGAAAGCAGCGTCAACGAAGAATATCTCCAGTCAAAGGAGTATCGGGGGCAATTACCCTCCTCCCGTCAATCCGTATGACCCGTATCATCCCGATCCTCAGTTTGGTATGGCATACCCTCAAGAGGCCCCGTTTCCGGGTCAACCCTATCAATTCCCTGCAGGAGGACCAGTCCCACCTTATATTTGCGGTGAGATGCCCCCGCCAGGAGTTGTTAATGGAGGTTACCCACCACAGGAACCCCCCATGTACCCTGGACAATATGTGTGAAGATTTAGGGATTTTGGTTTTCAGATAGAAGATATCATAGTGTCATTTTTTTTTTTTCTTTCTTATTTTTCTACCTCAATATTTTGTTTTCCTCTTGGTTTATTTTATTTTTATGTTTTTTTTTTTTTTTCCTTCCTTTCTGATTTTACATAATGTGTCTAGCACTCCTTTAATAAGAGTTCTTCCAGATATGCTAATCTCTTTTGTTGTTTGTTTTTTGGGGGGTTGGTGGGGGCAGTATTTTGTTTTTATTTCTATTTTTTCATTTTTTGGTATTTTTTTTTTTTTTTCCTTCCTTTCTTCTTTATCTAAACCATCAGTAAAAAAGGAAGTATGTTAACTGGGTATGCATTTGGTTGGGGTGTCCCAAGAAAACGGTTTTTGGTGACTATTAATTCCAGAGCCCAGTTGTTTTGTCTACCGCGACGGATGTTTTCATCTAAACCAGAGATACATAGTGTTGGGGGTTCTCAGAAATTAGGTGCTAGACCTGATAGTGAAGTACCCCTAGATGATCTGACGATGAGTCCCTCAGCTCTTTTGCGCGCTCAACAGCGCGAAAAAGAATCCATGGTGAAAAATATGTCTGATGAAATGGTTCCACCTCCACCCCCACGTCGTTCTGGCAAGACAATCATAATGGAGACGAAAAACATTTCGGAAAGTGGTTTAGGCAAGTCAAAAGAAGAATCCAATGATCTAGGAAAGGGTAATCAAAGACCTGTAACAAATAATCGGTTTCTTCAGAAGTTAACTGAAATGGAAAATTCTACAGGAACAAGTAGCTCTGGCCTTAATAGTGCTTCTAAGGCACGTAAACAAGCACGTGAAGAAAAAGTACTAAAAGAACGAGAACGTATGCTTATCTTTAGGGATGTTGGTATGGATTTAGATAAGCCGATTCTTTCACGAGATGTATTCCTTGTGTTTAAGTATTTTCGTTATGGTATTGAGTTTGCGGTCGATAATGAATTGGAGCGAATGCTAAGATATTTTAATGAACATGCCTTAAATGAGCTTAAAATTATACAAAATAGTAAACTTATGCGGGGTCCGGCTACCCTTAGCCGGAAAAGGAATCTTGCAAATCATGAATCTATGCCTTTTCAACTAACACCATCATTCCCATTATTACAAGCGGCCAACATGCGACAATATTGTCGTTATACAAAGGAGCTGGAACAGAAACTGGATATTTTATTTAAACCAAATTCTCTTTGTAATTTCTACCGTAAGGAAAAAAAGGGGGATAATTTAAATTCACTTAAGACTTTTCACTCGTTTTGTGAAAATGATTCCACACAAATGACATCATTTTCTCCATCGACTTTTAGACGGCCTGCGGTCATTATATATTCGCAATTGGGGCAAAAACTTGGAGCACAAGCAGATTTAGAATGGCGTCGTCTAGCATATGCGACAATTTATCCCTCTTTATTACAATACCTTCCGGACGCAGATATTAAAGGAGAAGGACACATTCTGTCGACATCAGAACATCAAAAAGGAGGATTGCGTCTTCATTCTAAAGAAGACTCACATGGTATTTCTAAGTCCATTATGCCGATTGATGTTGTTTCCTTTCGTAGTATGGATGTTTACAAATATCGTTGGGTACATAAGTTATATGTGCGACGTTTTGCACAATCACTAATTCCATCTGTACAATCTTCAGAATCTCAAACCAGTGATACCCAAGTAAATGGTTTACTAACGGCATCATCTACATTTGTTGGATGCAAGTTGCTTCAGCCCTTTTACTCAGTACTTGGTCTACGCAACTATCTTTCTCCTCATATAATGCTTGTAGACCATGAGGGAATGATTAGATGGTTGAGTGCCGGTTGTCCTGATGAATATGAGAGAGAGCACTTTCCTGCCCTTTTAAGGCAACTTGAACACGAGTATAATAAAGCAAGAGCCAGGTAGTGTATGTCTTTTTTTTTTTTTTTATGACCGTTCTCGCTTGTTTGGTATGCATATATTAGGTTGTCCAATATTATGTTGCAGAAATAAAGGCATTAAAGGAAGTAGTATATTGGTAATGCATGCCAATTATTGGTAATGTTACTCTTCACAGATTGCACTGGGATAATTGGACCTTTTTTTTCTCTGTTATTTAACCCTCAACTATTGTAAGATGAAAAAAGGTAAAAAATATATATAATCCTCTTTTCTTTTTTTTTTTTATTTTACTCATCAGGAGGAAATGAAAAAGGGAATGTCTTAGAGCAAGAATTTTTCTCGTCATATGGAATGGTTGATTTATTTGGTGTTGATGTGTCTCATTGGTTAATGCCTTTTTTGGGATGGTTTCCTATGCTTTTTTTTCTTCATTTTTTTTTTTTTTTTCGTGCTGGTAGGAAGAGTCCATGGATTCGTGTGCTTCAAGTAAAGATTTTACACTGGATGGCCAACATTCCTGTACCGAAGAGACAAACGATGATGCTGATGACACAGTGAAAAATGATTCTATGGATATTAAAGAGAGTTGTGCATATTGCGGTGAAAATGATCCTAGTTCACTCGCTATGTGTACCACATGTTCTAGATGGTTTTGTAACAGTGCTCATGGTACCAGTGGGTCGCATGTTATTATGCACCTTGCAAAAAGCAAACATCAATCATTACAGTTACATTCAAAGAATATGCTTGGTGATGATACTTTAAAGTGTTATGTTTGTCATTCAGCTAACGTTTTTTCTCTGGGATTTATGCCTTCAAAGGAAGAATCTGTTGTTGTATTAGTTTGCCGGGAACCATGTCTTCATTCTAGGGCATTGCGTGAACAAAATTTGGATTCCTCATCATGGCTTCCTTTAATAGATGAACGAAGGTTACTTCCGTGGATTTGCAAAGTACGGGGAACAGGTGCTAAAAAACTTACTTTGCATGATATTACGGCTATTGAACTTGAATGGGGAAATAAATTAATTAATTCTGAAGAAGCAACTGAAATTGCACCAACTATTCCAAATACATTTAATAATGGTAATGAATATCTAGAGATATTTACAACTTTAATTCGTATGGATGCTGATGCTTCACAAAGGAAAAAAGAATATACTTTTGAAAATGTCCCTTGCTTGTTGCAAAAACAGCTTGGAACAAGATGCTTTTTTTACTTAAAGCAACTTCCCGTTGCTGATGCTGTTTTTCGTCGTGGTGAATATGCTTCAATTACTGTAAAAGGAAGTAATAATTGCTTGTTTGGTACCATTGTTGATATCTGCAAATCTCAAAATGGTGACGAAGATGTCATTTTGGAAACAGAAATTAAGAAAACATTTGACAAAGCCGCATTGGAAGAGATACTTAGTGTATCTGTAGTAACTTTTCGTTTTGAGTTAAATATTATTGCGGCTCTAAGAAAAACTGAAGCTTTACATAAGTTTGTAGCTTCAAGACATCCACTTTCTGAATATCTTTATTATACTATTCTCGGTCAAGCGGAGAAGGCTGAGAAATATTTTAAGAAAGTACCTTATACTCTTACTACGCAATTAATAAGTAAATTAAACAGATCTCAAGAAATAGCAGTAAGAAATGCTTTGGAAAATCCATTGACTCTTATTCAAGGACCACCTGGTACAGGAAAGACCACAACTGGTGTTACTATTGTAAAACATTTGCATCATATCGTAAAAGAACGGATTCTCGTTTGTGCACCAAGTAATATTGCTGTTGATCACCTCGCTGAGAGGTTATCTACGGTTGGTTTGAAAGTAACACGTTTGCAACCACGTTACCGTGTCCCAGAGTCAGATATAATTAAAAATTTATCATTGGATCAACAAGTTGAGGATTTTATTGATTCAGACGCTGGTGACAATCGTGTAAAATCTATCTTGAATTCAATGAGGAATCAACTATCTTTGAATAATGATGAATATGATTTATATAAAAAAAATGTGAGAGATCTTGAAAAATTAATTCTGGGAAGTGCTGATGTTGTATGCTGTACTTGTGTTGGCGCAGGTGATCCACGATTAAAGGGGATACATTTTAAGTATGTTCTTATTGACGAAGTCACACAAGGAACTGAACCAGAAACTATAATTCCCTTGGTGTGTGGAGCAGAACAAGTTATTTTCATTGGAGATCATTGTCAACTGCGTCCTGTGGTTTCATCACTTGCTGCAGAAAAGGCAGGACTTCATCGTAGCTTGTTTGAAAGACTTTTGTATGTAGGTCATAGGGCTTTCCGGTTAGATGTGCAGTATCGCATGCATCCATCTTTGTCAAACTTTCCTTCTTCATACTTTTATGAAGGGACACTGCAAAATGGCGTCACTGAAATGGAACGTAATGCCTCACGGGTATTTCCATGGCCAGAACCCTCAAAACCTTTATTTTTCTATAACACAACAGCACCTGAAGAACTTGGAGCAAATGGATGTTCATACCTGAATCGAGCTGAAGCTGCATTGGTAGAAAAAATTGTGACAAAGCTTATAAGAGATGGAAAAGTAAATCCTGAAGAAATTGGAGTTATAACTCCTTATTATAGTCAATCTCGTTATATAAGGAATTATCTTTCTCGCTGTGGAAATATTGATGCAAGTGTGTATGATCGCGTTGAAATTGCTACCGTGGATTCTTTTCAAGGTAGAGAAAAAGAGTATATCATTCTCTCTTGTGTGCGCAGTAATCACCATCAGGGAATAGGATTTGTTGTGGATGAGAGACGACTCAACGTTTCAATAACCCGAGCGAAATATGGTTTATTTATTATAGGTAATGCCAGACTTCTTTCAAGGTATCCTGCATGGCATGCTCTTCTTAGAGAACTGTTAAATTTGTCATTGGTGGTGGATGGCTCTATTGATGCACTTGTTCCCTCAGCAGTGGTGCTGGGAAATCCTGAAAAAAATTCTTGATACACAGAAACATTCCTAGAAACGATATATCTGTTTCTTTTTTATTATTGTTATTATTATTATTATTATTAAATCGAAGCTTTTTTGCTTTTTTTTTATGGTATGAAACCGGTGACATTGTTTTTCAAATAAGGAGAAAAGGCAATCAAAAGCTCAAGTGTTATACGAGAAAGAGAAAGAGACAGTCGTTTTAGTTCCTTCGGAATGAAAAATAATTTTTTCTTTCTTTCTTTCTTTCTCTGCGTCACTTCTTTTCATTCATCTGTGTGAGAGAGACAAGTTCGGTGGGTATCCCCCCAGCACCACCTCCAAGAAAGAAAAACCTTTTACCCCATCACATGGTAACATGATGGCGCCAGGAATTTCTAGGGTGACAGTGGCGTTGTTTTTCATAAAAGCAAAAAAAAAAAAGAGAAACGATATGCTGCCTCACATTTTCTTCCTTATTTGAAATACTAGGGTTACCGCAAGGAAATAAAAAAGTGTCTCATCAATACGGTTGATACACATCCAAAAACATGGTGTTGAATGCTCTTTTTTTTTTCCTCTGTGTCAATTGCTTTTCAGAATAACTCTCACAACACCAGAAAATGCTCATGCTGTTAATTTTTTTTTTTTTCGTTTCTTGCTTTAACTACGTACTGGGGGCATGTCTTCTGTGCATGCGCTTTTCAGTGCTCATCACATGCTCTCATGATATGCGACCTAAAGTGCTTGGTCGAAAGAGGAAAGAGAATACTGCTACTATTTTGACACCATCTTCTTTTTGAAAAGCGTGTTGTTTTTCTTTTTACGTTTCTTTTTTTCTTTTTTCTCTCTCTCTCTTTTTTGGCTTTTCATGCTCTTTTTTTTTTTTTTTTTCTTTCTCTCTCTTCTCCATTCTTCACTTCTTCTTTTTTCTTTGCCTAGTCCGTGGTATAGAAATCCCTCGCCCCTTCGCAACGATGGCAAGTCTTGTGCACCACTTCTTCAAGGTCAAGGGCGGCACCACGGAGACCACTCCCACTCCCACTACCGCTACGACACCACCCAGCAGTGGAACGGCACACGTGGCGGTGTTGGGTTGTTGCCATGGGGAGTTGGATGCGGTGTATGATGCCTGCGCAGCCCACGAGGCGGCCACTGGCCAGCGTATTGCTTTTCTCATTTGCTGCGGGGATTTCCAGGCCGTGCGGGGGACCGCAGACCTGCAGGGCATTGCCGTCCCACGAGCCCATCGCCGCGTGGGGGACTTCGCTGCTTATTACCGCCGCGAACGACGGGCCCCATACCTCACACTTCTCATTGGTGGTAATCATGAAGTATCTGATTGGCTAGCCGAAGAGGCATACGGTGGGTTCCTCGCCCCGAATATTTATTACATTGGACACGCTGGTGCTGTTATTGTGGATGGTGGCATCACAGTAGCGGGGATTAGTGGGATTTATAAAGCATACGACTACCCACGACCGTATCCATCTATGCCTTACTATGCGTCAGAGACTGCCCTGCGTTCAGCCTATCATGTGCGGCGCATTGAGGTGGAGAAGCTTAAGGCATTTCTTCACGCATTGGAAAGCGTCCAGTTGTATCAAAAGGAAGAGAAAAAGGAAAAACAGCAAGAACACGAACAAGAGCAACAAGAGAAATCAACACCCTCGGTAGGGAGTAACAGTGGCACCCTACCCTCTCACTGTGCTGCAGCGTTTCCTCATGTAGATTTATTTCTCTCACATGATTGGCCTGTTGGAATTACCAAATATGGTGATGAGGCGCGACTGTTACGTTACAAACCTTTTTTCGATGATGATATTCGTCATGGTGCGTTGGGAAATCCTCACACAATGTCTTTGCTTCGCGCTGGTAAACCGCGTTATTGGTTGGCCGCACATTTGCACTGCCAGTTTGAGGCTACAGTTCCTTTCAAGGATGTTGACGACGCCGATGTTGCTGCTGGTATTCCCCAGTCGACGAAGTTTATCGCCCTAGATAAATGCTCAAAGGGTAAAGGTTTTCTGGATTTTATTGATATTCCCATTTACGGTAAAAATCCCACGATGGAGGAAAAGAGGGACGGAGGAGAAGAAGGAGAGGAAGAAGGAATAGGAAGAGTTGTACATCATCCACTGTGGTTGGAAATACTGCGGGAGACTCATAGGTTGGTTGCATCCAACGATAATACCTGGTCGGCGGAGTCTTCTGCATTGCGGCAATATACACCTCAGCAGCTTCAACATCTTGGCCTGTGGCTTCCAGCCAAGAACACCGTATCGGTGCTGAAAGCGTTAGGACTTTCTACCTCTCCACTACAACAACAACAACAACAACAACAACAACAACAAAGACAAGAAGGACCTCGACAACCTCTTGTGGAAAAAAAGTGGTTACCGAGACCACCGGTAGACAGCAACAACCGCGTGGGTGATGTACAAGCTTTGGCCAAAGGTAAGGATACAAAACTGGAAGGCCTGACTACATCTTCTTCTGCTGCTGTTAGTGCTGGTGGTGATGATGCTGCAGCTGAAAATGATAATAATGGGTTGGTGCGAATTAAAAAAGACGCACCAGACGAGTGTGACTGGATGGAAGACACTGCTGGTGCCTCATGATAAGTAAGAAACATCGCAGATACAAAGCAAGAGCAAAAGGAAAAGAAAGGGTAGCTAGGGTTGCATTTTAATGATTAATACAATTATATTTGGTGAATTCTACTGAGGCTTCAAATTGAAGTAATACAGCTGTGGTATCTCTTTTTTTTTTGTTGTTGTTGTTTTGATTGTTTCCTTTTCTTTGGTTCCCTTAAACAGTAAAGTGTAATTGTGTCTCTCATTTTGTTTTGTTTTGTTTTTTCCTTCTCTTTTCTTACATGCTGAAATGTCTACTCTATTGTATACCCTTTTTGTTTTTTTCTTTTTATCACTTTCTTCTTCTTTTTCTCACTTGATAGTGTACCAAACATCTTCCCAGATTCTTTTAAAGAGAAGGAAAGAAGAGGCAAACTCTAAAACAGGTAATACACGTGTTGTAGAGGGGATATATTATACATATTTACACGTGCAAAACCGAGTGTAAGCAGCAAAAAGAATATCATAAGAAATAGAAGAAAAAAAGTAAAGGTCTTCTGCACACTACGGAAAGGTACTGCTCACTCCGTCTCATTTTCAAGAGGCTACATTAAAGGAGGAGGAAAGGCAAGTACTAGAAGGCGTTTGCTATCTTGATATTTGTGTGGTTGTTGGTTCTCCTCGACAAGAAGAGAAAATACAACCTCTGAGGAAATCTAGGGGGACAAAAAGATCAGTAGTAAGGTAGCAATATATATATATATATATATATATATATATATATATATATATATATATATATANATATATATATATATCATCCTAAGCAGGCAAAGAGATAGCCAGATAGGAGAAAAAACCAGAACCCCACACCCTTCCTCCCTCACCCATCTACCCACATACACCGAAGGAAAAAAGGAAGGAACCTCTATCCAGGAAAAAAAAAGTCGAATATCGAGAAGAAGAACTACAAAGTTTAGAAGGAAAATAGAATACCCCAGTAGTCAAGGTATTTCTTTATAATTGTAACACAATAGAGAAACCGTGATAGAGACCTGTATATAAAAAAAAAAAAAAGCAGATAGATAGGTGATAGCTATTGTACCTGCTGTAACTAGTTGTAAGTAAGGAGGAGGTTAAAAAAAAAAAAAAAACAGAAAAGGGAATAGTGTGATCTATTGTTCCTTTTTTTTGTTGTTGTTTTTTTTCTGCCTGTATTGAGATTATTTGTAGTATTTCTATTATTGTTTTCTTTTCTAGTTCTCGAAATACACGAAAGCAATAAGTTAAAGAAAGAAAAAAAGAAACCAGGCTCCACGGTATCTTTTTTCTTTTCTTTTCTTTTTGCAGTGTCCTCTATCTTTTATTTTGCCGAGTCTTCTTTTTCCCTTCTCTTTTTGCACCCGTGAGAAGTTTTTTTTTTTTTTTTTTTACTTCAGCACCCGTTTTTCTTTTGTTTTTTTTCTTGTTCCTTGTCGTTTTTCCCTAACTCCTTTTTTTTTTTATTCGTCCTTTACTCTCTACTTGTGGCTTGTTTTTTTTTTTTTGTGTGTGTGTGTTTTCTCGCTGTAGTCTTGATTTTCCCGTTTTTTTTTTGTTGTTGGTTTGTTTGTTGGTTTGTTTCCGCACCTTCACTTCATTCTTTTGGAGAAGAAAACGAAGTGTAGGCTGTTACTACTTGTATTTACCGCCACTACTACTGAAGTTTTTTTTTACCGAAGAAAAGGGTTTGACAGTGTGGGCACTTTCTTGAGGACAGAGAGAAAGAAAAAAGAAAAAAAGTCGATCAGATTGTCTAAAAGAAGAGAAAAAAAAAAATAAGTGGGAAACCGAAGTTAACTCATCTTGTTATTTCTGAAAACTTTGGGCGTCTGATTTCTACTGGTTTCTTCTCTCACTCGCACTTTACTCTTTTCTTTCTGTTGTTCTCGGGTCGTCTTTTCTCTTGATTGACGTGCGAGGTTGTTGTTTTTGACGCCCTTTTCTCTTAGTTGTTGTGATTTGTGGTTTATTTGTGCTTGAAGTGTTAAATTGACGACTCACACACACTCACATTATCAGTACTGAGTAATATACGGGGTAGTGAAAGAAGAAGAAGAAAAAAGAAAAAAAAACTCAATCTCTTTCCGTGTGCGCAGTAGTAAAAGAATAATAATAGTAGTAGTATTAGTAGTTGTTTTTGTAGTACTAGCGGTGACAGAGGATAAAGAAAACACTGGGAAACTCTGAATAGAAAGATTAAGAAAAAAAAAAAGTTTTAGGACTTGAGAGAAAAAGAGAAAGCAAAAATAAAAAAAAAACCAGACCAGCATAAACAGATACTTCTTCATTAGTTTCCATTTGTATATATATATATTTATTTAATTATTTATAGAAATAAATACAAATTAAGAGATTTCAATTACCTGTCGAGTTTTTCGTTCATTTCTTGAGTGACATTGATCTACGTACTGCTAACGAGGTGTGACACGTGTACATCAAAATATTCAACTGGAAGAAATAGTGGTTCAGAAGATAAAGAAAAAAAAGTAGTGCTTTACCTTTGTATATACATATATATTTCTATATACATTGTATATTGACAAAAAGAAGAAAACCAACAAGAGGAAATGGACCCTACAAACACCCAGCAACAATACGGGAATACCCGTCAGACGCCCTCTTCCCAGCATGGCCCTGCTGCCTCAGTTGTAGGGATTGGTAGTCCCTCTGATGGACTAGATGACTTTGATCTTCAATTGCGAAAAGATTGTGCAATTGGATCCGTCCCTTTTAGTATTGGTAATGGTGGTCTTAACATGAATGGTGTTGTTCCATCTCCTTCACCCACTATGGCATGTCCTGCCGCTATGTTTTCTTCTGTGGCCACAACCAGTAGTGGATTATCTGCTCTCATGAGTAACCCGCAAACACTTCGTTGCATGGTAGATGATTTGGCCCAAGTGATTTCCCGATATCTTTCCACCTATGTGGAGCCGCAGCCAGAGAAATTAAGTGATGAACACAAACGCTATTTACTTATGCAGTTTACGGATGAATTACAGCGGCAGGGAATGGCACAGGCCCCTGGAGTGGCGGGAAGTACAGATGGACGCTGGACTATTGACAAGGAGGTGCTGCTTTCACTGCGAAATGGAAAAGATGGACAGCGGCCAGCAGGAGCGGAGGTGGCGCGGCCCCATCATCCATTCGCCGGGTACTGCGGGGCCAACAGCATTAGCCCGCGCGTCTCGACACATCCACCATGGATAGGGACCTCACCAAACCCCACTAATACTAATACTAATACTACTACTAACAATAATAACAATAATAATAATACTAATGCTAATAACATTGGTCGTAGTAGTCATGGTGTGAATGAAACACAGAACCCCGCGGTGTTAGGCATGCCCACGTTGGCAAAGCCATCTCTAACTGTAATGACACTGAACAAACGCATAGCTACTGGAGACGTGATCCGTCCACAACCACAACATCCACGGAATGGAGGGAAAGGAACTTTAGAACGTCGGTATCTCGTGGGAAACACAAAGAAGGTTCTTCGTTCCGCCAGCTCTGCGTTTTCTGAGTGCTCTGCGGGAGAAACAGGAGAGGTCAGCAGCTCCATGTCGCGTACAACTGTTGGATTGGCACACTGAGGAAATGAAGAAGAATAAGTAAGGGGAAAATTATTATTACTGATTTTCTTTATATATATATATATATATATATATATATGTCTTTTATTGTTTTTCCCCTTGTACTGTTGTTCTTGTTTTATTTTTGGTGAGAGGAAGCGAGAGAGAGAGAGAGGGAAGAAAGAAGGAGGGAAAGAAAGAAAAAAAGAAAGGAAAAAAAAAAAACAGGAAGGAGTATTTGTGTATCCTCCACGAGATTTTCATATACACACACGTACACCTTCGTGAAGAGAGGCATCTAAATAAAAAATAAAAAGATGAACGGGGGAGATGTATGACGGAAAAGGAAATAAACGAAAGAAAAAAATAAAGGAACGGAAATTATATATATACGCTTTGTAGAGCCTTTCTTTATTTTATTTTTTTTTTGTTTTGTTTTTCTTCTCCGTTCTCTCTCCCTGCAATTTTGTGTGTATATGCTCAATTGGTGGGTGGGTCGGCGACTCCGTGGAGTTCCTGTTTATATGATTTCCTCCTTTGTAAAATGTAATTCCCTCTCCGCCTCCATGTAGGTATATATACATATATATATATTTATATTCATATTCATATTTAATATAGATGTACAACGGTGAACGTCTTCATTTTTTTTTTTTTTCCTTTCTTTCTTTCCTTGCAGGGAAACACGAACACGGTTTTTTTTTGGGGGGTGGGGGGGTTTCTTTTTTTTTCTCTTTTCTTTTTTTACACGAGAAAAAAAGTAAAGAGCTTTCGTGAAGAAAAAAAGAAAATGTATGTTTCTGTATTGAGAAGGAGGAGTTGAAACAGCGCTGAATTTTTTATTTATTTATTTTATCTTTCTTCCTTGATTTGTTTTTCGGAGTTGCTGCCCTTGCAGTGATGATGATTATTAATTATTAATTATTATTAATTATTATTATTATTATTACTGCTAGTACTTTTATTGGTCTCTCTTTTTTTTCCTATTATTTTTCCATCCAATGTGCTTGTATGTGTGTATTTAATGCTGTTCGTACTGAGGGAGAGTAATGTACTCTGGCAGACAGATGTATATTGCAGAACCGATGATGAGAGCAATAAGAACAAACAATTTCATTCATCTCGTGGTATTGCGTAGCTGTTATTTTTATATTTTTATTTTTCCCTTTTTTTTTGTTTTTGTTTTTTGCTTCATATCATTAGTGCCGTTTTTGTTTTCCTCTTGTTTTTTTTTTTTTCCATTGCTTTGTTCAATCTGTATTGTTCTCGCGTATTCTGTGGTTTCTCTCTACGTGGTGTTTTGGTGGGTTTTCTGCGGTACTGATTGGGCCTCTTTATCCTCTGTGAACAGCAATGGCTGCGGATGTAATTTGATAAGGATCGTAAATGAATAGCAAATATATAAATATAAATAAAAAATGGTCTTGATCGTGAGGTTGTTGCTGAGAAGAAGAAAGAAAGTGAAAGAGGGAGAGGGAGAGAAATCGCACACACCACAAACTATGCAATTATATATATATATATATATATATATCACTGTATAGAAAGAGAGGGAGAGAGAGAGAGAGGGGGAAAAAAAAAGAAAAGAAAACGCATGCCACTTCTTCTTATTTGCAGTTTTGATGGGAGGGAGGGAGATGAGAAGAGAAGAAAGAGAAAATGAAAGAGAGGGGAAACAGGGAAGACATTATCGCATACATTACTCGTCTATATCTATCTATCTATCTATCTATCTATTTAATAATGGGGAGGGGGAAAAGAAGAGGGAAAAAAAAGAAAATAGAATAACACTGCGAATACACAAGAACAATAAGAGCAACATTATTATTATTATTATTATTATTATTATTATTATTAGTAGTAGTAGTATTAGTATTAAGAGGACTAAAAGAGAGAGAAAAAATAAGATATATATATATATATATATATATATATATATATATATATAT